ATTCTCTCTTTGTCCTTATATTTTGCCATTTTCACTATGATATGTTGTGCAGAAGTTACATCTGAGGGGAGTTCTCTGTGCCTCTTGGATTTCAATGTCTATTTCCTTCCCCAGATAGAGAAGTTCTCAGCTATAATTTGTTCAAGTACACCTTCAGTACTTTTCTCTCTCTCTTCCTCTTCTGGAATTCCTATGTTAAGGATATTGTTCCATTTGATTGTATCACTCAGTTCTGGAATTCTCCTTTTGTACTCCTGGATCAGTTTATCTCTCTTTTTCTTGGCTTCCTTGTTTTCCATAATTGTGTCTTCTAATTCAACTATTCTCCTCTCTGCCTCTTCAATCCGTGCATTGGAAGCCTTCATTTTATTATGCACCTCATTTATAGCATTTTTTAATTTATCACAACTATTTTTAAGGTCCATAGTCTTTGTAGCAGTAGCTTCTCTGGTGTATCCTATGCCTTTTTCAAGCCCAACGATTAATTTTATGACTCTTGTTCTAATTTCTTGTTCAGTTATGTTGCTTATATCTGTTTTGAACAGTTCTTTACCTGTTATTTCTTCCTGGAATTTCTTTGGAGGAAAGTTCTTCCGTTTCATCATTTTGGCTAGCTTTCTGTCTCTTGTTAGTTTTAAAAGCTTGTTATATGCTCTGCACCTGTGAGTACTGCTATATTAAAGAAGGCTCATTGACTGTCCAGGCCTGTCCGTTCAGGAAGTGTTCTTTGAATGGTGTCTCTTGGTCTCTCTTGTTGAGACTGGTTATTTTATTTCCCTACTCATAGTGGTATTGGGACTCTCCACCATGTGTACTTTGGCTTGTTTCTTGAGGTAGCCCTGGAAAGGAAAACAGACAGACAAACACACAGAGAACAAAGGCACACACATGTACAGAGAAATCCAACAAACAAGCATACCAAAAGAGAAAAAGAAAAAAGAAAGAAAAGAAAGAAAAACCAAAAGACGAAAGACAGTCTAAAAGCATAAAACCAGAATTCCCAGCTACGTGTATACAGTGCTGATGGAAGAGCATATGCAGAGAGAGAAATGACAGAGCTTGGAGGAAGCGAAATTGGATGATGACCAGGCAGAGAGACTGAGAGGATTAATTCAGAGAAAGAGGTGAATATGGTAGGAAGCAAGGAGAAAGAAACAAAGACAATGTTATCCAAAGAAACTATATAGTCTGATTATTCCAGAGAGAGAAAGGAAGGTAACAATGGAAGTGTAGAATATGCATCTAGAGAATGAATTAAGTGTGACTGTTTAAGCATACCAATGACCGGTGTGCCCAATTCAGTGGAGGGGAGGGATAAGAATGAGACAAGGGAAAATATATCTGAATAGAAAGAATTGATCTAGAATTAATGATTGCAGTGCATCAATGTTGGTCTTGCCCCAGGCTCCAGTAAATAAAAAAAGCAGCTCTCCAGTACAGATGGACGTGGTTTGGTATAGGCAGGTCTCGCCTCTACTGCGTTCTAGCAGGCCACTCCCTGGTGCCTGGCCTTGGTGGTTGTGGGGAGAAAAATGGTGGCGCCCCAGTTCCTTCTCAAACCAAGCATTGCAAATCACTCTTTTGGGTCCGATCTCCCTGTGCTGCAGGCGTAGCCAAAGTGGGCTGTGTTCTATGTCCCAATCCCCTCCTCGTTTCCAGATCTTAGTCCACACACTTTAATGATACTGACCGAAATATAATCCTGCAGTCCAGGCCACTTCCTGGCCTGGGATTGAGCTGGGAGAGCAGCAGAGCAGTTTCTCCTGGTGCCACCTGGTACCGGGGCACCCAGCCAAAAGAAAGCACCATGGCTAGAAATAGGATCCCTCTCCATCCCAGGCCGAGGTTTCTCTTCTCCAGTGACAGTTCTATGAGCAGTTTCAGCCACTCTTTCTCTTCCTCTTGTCTCTCCATGGCTCTCCATGGTTCTCAATGGAGGGGGACCTGTGTCTCCAGGTCCCTGCCCGTTTTTATCTTCCTCAGTTCTCAATCACGCACCTATGAGACTGTCTTCTTAGTGGACTCTGTCTCTTTTCCTCCAAGACTCCTGCGGTTCAGTGTCCTATGGCTTCAGGTCTTCTGTGTTTGAGAGATGCAGGCAAATGAAATGTATAGAGCTCCCTACATCTCTGCCATCTTGCCTCTTCCCGGAGTCGTGCCATTTAAAACTGCCTTTGGAACTATCCTTTCAGTTCTCTAACAGGTGACTCCTTTCAGCAGACAAGTTTGGTAAACATGGATAAGAGGTTTAAACCAGTGTAAACCCAACATTGAGCAGAAGCACTTTGGACTTCTCCATTAGGTCCCCAGCTCTTCATCAAGTACTCTTTCCAATATGGCAGATTATTCATTATGTAGATTTGTGTCCAAATGTTGAGGTCTCCACAGATGACTATAGAAATTTCATTTGTTTTGAAGTTACTAAACTCCAAATAAGAAACAGTGTTAAAATAAGAACCAAGTATAAATGGTCCTCATATCTATCATGTGTAAGTGGCTATTTTCAACCCCGTAATGTAAAGAAACAGTAATGTAGCAGCATTAAGGAAGATATGCTCATAATATTGATATTATCAATGACTGTGAGAAACTTTTTTCTTATTTATTTACAGTGACAAATAAAAGTATAAAGGGGTAGAAAGGTACACGTGACTCAAATCTAATATTGTAGTGGATTTTTAAAAATCTTAATTTAGTCTGAGAATCTTACATTTCCCTGAAATACCTAGGAAATGGAGGTGGGGGGAAAAATGATAGTTTGGTTTCATTTGTTGAAGGTGAGGGGGCTGGTTCTCTTGAGGTATGTAGATCTCCTTTGTGCTCTGCTCCACTTCCCGAACCTAAAATTCTCATGGTCACCCTTCCCACCTCCAACTCCCACTTTCTCTGCTTCTTCCTCTTCGTCCTCCTTGTTTCTCTTTGTTCCTAACACGTAGTGCTCCATTTAGGGTTGGAGGCATGATAAGGATTGAATATGTGGTCAAGGTTGGTTGAAAGACATGACAATTTATTTTTTCATTAAGACTTAGTGAGAATATGGAAATAAGGTCAGAGTGACCCTTTTCAGATTCTTGAATAGTGAAGTATAGCTGAGATTGTAAAAAATTGTGGTATTTGCAGGAATATAGATGGAGATGATAATGTCAGAGTGAAAGGAGCATTTAAAATCTTGCATTTGAAAAAATAGTGGAGGGAAACCATAAGAGACTCTTAAATACAGAGAGCAAACTGAGGATTGATGGGATGGCAGGGAAGAGGGGAAATGGGTGATGGACATTGAGAAGGGCACTTGCTGGGATGAGCCCTGGGTGTGTATGTAAGCTATGAATCATGGGAATCTATCCCTGAAACCAAGAGGACACTGTATACACTATATGTTAGCCAGCTTGACAGTAGAGTATATTATAAAGTAATAAAATTTTAAAAAGGAAGAAGGAAAACTCTTGTGTTTGAGAGTCGAGAATGAAGACCTGGGCAAGAGGAGTATATGCCCTTGAACTTTATGGAGCCCCATCTGGCCCTCCTCCAGTTGCACCCCATCCCTGTACCCACATATGGCACGAGATGATGGAGCCAAGGGGGTATGCCCACTTGGAGCTAGGTAGCACCTTCTAGACCTGCACCATCCAATATGGTAGCCACTAGCCACATGTGGCTGTTTATATTTAACTAAAGAAATTTCAGTTCCTCAGGTGTACTACCCACATTTCAGGTCCTCAGTAGCTACATGTGGCTAGTGGCTACTCTATCGAATAGCACAGATATTACAGAGCATTTCCATCAACACAGAGCAGAAGGTTCTGTTGTACAGTGTCGTAACCATGTTTCAAAACCCAGGACCCCAGAATTCTCTGACCAGTGGCACTCAGTCTGTTTCCAAGGCCAATGAGTATATTTCATATGCTCCTAAGTGATGCAACTTGAAAGTATCCATAGAAACTGTGTCTACAAATAGCTTGTTGGATATGTGGGATTTGTTTGCTCTGTTGCACTGGCATTTATTGGGTCCTGTAGGCATTTGGAGTCCCCACTTAGCCCACAGAATCTACTCTACAATGGTAGGACTGCATGGTACGTGGAGAATACTGTGGAGTCCTTCTGAAGGTGGACTGCATTGCTAGCATATATGTTCTTAGGTCTGAAAGATGGCCGAAGGGTGACTGCTTATGAGGAATGGGGGAGGGGAGAGCAGAGTTTGGATATCTACTTGTATGCATAAAGCTGCTTGAGGCGTGGGATGGAGCAGAGGGTGCGAAAAGAAGGGGCAGTACTGGCACCCAGGGGTTAGAGGACAGTTCTCCTTGGGCTACATCTACATGAAGCTCTGAGTTGTCTGAGAATTTAAATCCACACCTGGCCTTATATCCTTTTATGATGATACCTCTGTCAAAGCAGAATAGAATATCTTTTACATAATAGTTTGTTTTCTTGATTTACAAAGTTTCAATATTTGTGTATGTGGTATGTGGACCCGTTTGTATTTTTGCCCCAAGCCTCACAGCATCAAGGCATAGGGTGGGAGCTGTGCATGTGTATGTGGTTAGGATTTGTAATTTCTCATATAAAGGATGTATTTCAAAGTGATTTATTCATGAAAAGAATAAAACATATGTAAACAGCCCTAGTTGATATGAGCATCTGTGACATAGAGCCAGGTCTGTCCTGCCTTGAATGTCTCTAGTATTATATAACGGTTGCGGTCGCCCACGAGACGGTTATTGACAGTCTCACGTTGTACTGCTTGGCTTTCTTGATTATTCAAGAGAATGAACAGTTCCTTCTTGAATGGATAGTTTATTTATGCTTAGACAAGGCACAGTCTGTTCTCCTTGATACATTTTTTTTAAATAAAAAAATTGTTTACCAGTGTTTGCTAAAGCGTACATGTAGAGGGTATGAGCATTTGAATATTTAGCAGATGTGATTTGGGGTACAAATAATCATGTCAGATACATAATTTATGTGTTGAAGCTTTACTTAAAATTTGATTTATGTTTTAGTTGGAGTATTTTATGATTCAAGCCTTAAATCAGAAGACAAGTGAAAAAATGAAGAAAAGGAAAATGAGCAACTCGTTTCATGGAATTAGACCACCTCAGCTTGAGCAACCAGGTGCATTTATTAACCAATGTCTACATATTCGATTGAGACTTATTATCAATCACTTCACAACTCTTAGAGCAATTATTCCCAAATTTGAGTATGTTGAGGACTTACCTGATATTCTTATTTCAGTCAATCTGGGAAGGGCCTGGAAACTGCTTTTAAAAATAAGTTTCCAGGTGATTCTGAAACAGGTGGCACTTGGATCACATTTTGAGGAATGCTGTTTTAAACTTGAATCTGTAGATTCTTGAAAAAGTAGTGTATGTGCTGAAGAGCTGTTCTAGATTAAAATTTAAGAGAAATAACAACCAAATACAGCGTATGAACCTTGATTGGATACTGGTTCAATAAAAACCTCTAAAAGACTCTTAGGACAGTTGGGTAAAATTTTAATATGGACTGTGAAATTAGATGAGATGATGGAATTGTTGTTAATTTTCCTATATGGTAATGGTTCTGTGATTAATGGAAGAATGTCCTTATTTTTTGGAAGTGAATAAAGCGTTTAGAGCTGATGTATCCTGATGATTACAACTCACTTTTAAGTGGTTCAGCAATAGGAATGTGTAAGTGTGTGCCTATCTAGAGATAAGGCAAACATGACAAAATGTTTTCTTTTTTTAAGTTTATTTATTTGAGAGGGACAGAGACAGTGCCAGCAAGGAGGGGTAGAGAAAGGACAGAGAATCCCAAGCAGGCTCCATGCTGCCAGCACAGAGACTTACATGGGGCTCAAACTACAAAACTGTGAGATCATGACCCGAGCTGAAACCAAGAGTCAGAGGCTTAACCAACTGAGCTACCCAGGCAGCTCAAACATGACAAAAAATTAATAATTGCAGATTCTAATTGAAGGACATGTGTGTGCTTATAGTATCATTCTTTCAGCTTTTTTGAATGTTTGAAAATGTTCATAACACAAGGTTAGAGGAAAATAAAGTTAAAAATAAATAAATACAATTTTTCTCAAAATTAAATTTTATCAAAATTTTTGCCTTTGTAAAAATGTTTATTTATTTATTTTGAGAAAGAGAGAGTGCAAGTGTGAGAGTGTACATAAGCACCGAGCAGGGGAGGGGCAGAGGGAGAGGGAGAGAGAGGGAGAGAGAATTCCAGTCAAGCTCCACACTGTCAGTACAGGACCCAGCGCGGGCCTCAGACTCACACACTGTGAAACCATGACCTCAGCTGAAATCAAGAGTCAGATGCTTTACTGACTGAGCCACCCAGATGCCCCAAAATTTTTGTCTAATTTTGTGATAGAAATAGAATAATAGTACTCTCTGAGATCCATTTGTTATGGATATTGTTTTAAAAAGCAGGTACTTGGGGCGCCTGGGTGGCTTAGTCAGTTAAGCATCCGACTTTCACTTAGGTCATGATCTCGCGGTTCGTGGATTCGAGCCCCGCGTTGGGCTCTGTGCTGACTGCCAGCTCAGAGCCTGGAGCCTGTTTCAGTCTGTGACTCCCTCTCTCTCTGACCCTCCCCTACTCACGCTGTCTCTCTCTCTCTCTCTCTCCTAGAAATAAATAAAATATTTTTTAAAAAAGTTTAAAAAAATAAAAAAATAAAAAGCAGGTACTTTATAAGTATTTGTTAAGTAAATCAATATAAATTAAAAATCAAGAAAATAATAAATTAGTATGGGAAGGCAATTCCAGGTTTTTGTTTTTGTTTTTTTAATGCAGATATACAAATCATGAGTGATACACGTTTGCTTTGAACTTCCTGGCGTGAAAAGTGAGAGGAGACGTTGTCTGTTGTGTAGCAAGCCTGCTGCTCTAAATACTTTCTGGATGAGAAGATGAGTGGGGAATAGTCAAATAAACAATGTATATAGATAGATAATTTCTTCATTCCTATTATTCCAGGAAGGAAAACACAACAGTTCCTCTGAGAAAGCAAAGCATTTCATGCCATTTATGACTAAAATAAATTTGTCATGTGGGTCTTGCTGGGGATAGTAGGTGACCATGTAGTAGACACGGCCTTCAGAAGTGTCCCATCAGCAAACGCAGCCTCAGTTTAGACAGGCTATTCCTTGTGCCATTCTGTAAGCTATCACTCTGAACATTTGTTCTGGTGCTGACCTGTTCTAAGGATAGATCCTGGGCTCTGGGGCATGTGGCTTTCAGATTGCTTTTAGCCATGAAGGGTCTGTGAAGCTGTCTGAAGCAGTGGAGAGAAGGATGAGTGGGGTATAGTTCAGGAAGAGCCTAGCCACCAAATTACCTTGTTATTATCTGTTTTATAGACTGGGGATTTGCTTTAGAGGAAAAAATTGTCATTCCTAAAGAAGTTTGACTTCTACTGATTTAGAAGATTGCATATCCTTCAGGCAACACTTTCCAGATGACACTCTCCTTGGCTCAGCTTTGGATAAAAGCTAGACAGCAGACATTCTGTAGTTCGAGTCTGTGATGAGGGCCTAGGATACGATCCTCTTTAGGGGTATCCTGAATTGACTGAGGGCTAATCTGTCTTTGTTAGTGATCAGACTAGGAAATGGAAGGTTACATCCTTTTTTAGAAATTGGGGAGTTTAGTTAGCATTCCACCTGAGGTGTGCTGAGGAGAAAAAGCTGGTTTTTGTCTTACCAGGAAGAAAACAAAAATTAATTTTAGGATCAAAATAAAATGGTCAAGACGGTTTCAGACAATGGAGTCCAGGACTCTGAGCCCTGGCTTTGAGAGGTTGATATTTGAAGTTTAATTTTAACAATTTCCTTCCCCTCCATTTCCAACCCCGAGAGGAAAAGGACTTTAAATGTGAGGTTAAGTTCTTCAGAACTTATTCAATAATTTGTTTGAATGTTTTATCAGGTGAAAGTAAAGAATATTAACTACCAATACTAAAATTCAGTATTTGTAGAAATATCTTATTTGGGGACACACATATAGTGAGAAGTACTATTTTATTGCTGTTTATGGCATTAATACAATTTTTACTTTCACTATAAAAATTACAATATTTCTGTGACTTTTAACTCCGAGTAATTTATATATGTTTATAATTAGGCTAAGTTAAATTAAACTGCTTGTTTTTGTAGGTCAAAAATGGCCATATGTTGGCAATTTCATATGGCTCAACTTAATAATATTAAAAAAGAATTCTTTCATTGTGTTTAAAAGGAACCTGAAATGTTTGGGTCTGTAGACCTCAAGAATAATTTATCATTTTTGTTTTCTTTTTTGAAATAGAAAAAATGCCTGTCTTAAAGGCTGAAGCATCGCATTATAACTCTGATTTAAATAATTTGCTGTTCTGCTGCCAGTGTGTGGATGTGGTATTTTACAACCAAGATTTAAAGGAAGTTGCCGAGGCCCACAAGATTGTTCTCTGTGCCGTAAGCCATGTTTTCATGCTGCTTTTCAATGTGAAGAGTCCCACTGACATTCAGGATTCCAGTATCATCCGTACCACCCAGGACCTCTTTGCTATAAACAGAGATACTGCATTTCCAGGTGCTAGCCAGGATTCTCCAGGCAACCCACCATTACGTGTTGTCGTTAAGGACGCCCTCTTCTGTTCTTGTTTATCGGACATTCTGCGCTTCATTTATTCAGGTACCTTGTTAAATGGTTCTGCTACGTTCTCGTAAGCTTCTGAAGTGAAGTGTACCTGGGGTCCTCAGGTGTACTTGTTAGTTTCACATTTCTCTTCTTCCTACCATCTGAGGTAAGGATTATACATAAAAGAGTATTTACTTTATAAACAGGAATTGGCTCACACTTTCCATCTTCCTTGTAAGTTTACTTGCTTGGGTTTTAAATATCTAAAATGTGAAAATACAAGAATTTATTATCTAGTTTAAAGAAACAAAATTTTCAAAGTATGAATGGAAATAAATCTCTGCATCTTAAAACCTGGCTGTTTATTATTCCCTCTTCTGTTTTACTTAGATTTTGGAGGGAATTGAGAGAAATTAGCAGGGTCCTTACATTCAGTTTAGGAACTGGAAACAGTATCTAAAGTTAGTTTAAGCTGAGATCTGATCAACTTTATTTTATTTTTTTAATTTAAAAAAATTTTTAAATGTTTTTTATTTATTTCTGAGAGGGAGAGAGAGACAGTGTGAGCAGGGGAGGGTCAGAGAGAGAGGGAGGCAAAGACTCTGAAGCAGGCTCCAGGCTCTGAGCTAGCTGTCAGCACAGAGCCCGACACGGGGCTCGATCCCACAAACTGTGTGATCATGACCTGAGCCAAAGTCTGACACTTAACTAAGTCACCCAGGTGCCCCTTTAACTATTTTATTTTTAAGTAATCTCTTCACCCAGTGTGGGGCTTGAACTCACAACCCCAGCATCAAAAGTCACATCCTGTACCAACTGAGCCATCCAGCCTCACCAACTTTGACTATTTTAGATTTTACTTTTTCCTCTTACTGTGCACTTAATCTTTTTAGCATTGAGCTTATCTGGTTTTTTTTCTTCTTCTCCTTTTAAATACTGTAGTAGCTATATTTAAAGAAAAATAGATATTTTATATGAGTCATTTTAGCCAATGAATTGAAGGTGTTGCATCTAAATCTCCCATATAAGAATGGAAAAGAATTGATATAAAATGATTATTTGTTTGTTTGTTTGTTTATTTTTGAGAGAGAGAGAGCATAAGCAGGGGAGGGGAGCAGAGAGACAGGGAGAAAGAGAATCCCAAGCAGGCTCCATGCCCAGAGTGGAGCCTGATGTGGGGCTCAGTGTGCGGCTCGATCTCACAACTGACCTGAGGTGAAATCAAGAGTTGGACACTAACTAACTGAGCCACCCAGGTCCAGGTGCCCCAGTGTTAAATGATTTTTAAAGTAAGCATCTAATTAAAAATTTTCCGAGATCTCTCTTCTTTAATTTTCCACTTGGAATCATGTACTCATGAAATAGTAAGTTCAGGTCACTCCTTCTCTGGAAATGTGTCAGGAGTAACATTTATGATCTATTTTTAGACTTCAGAATGAGGGACAGATAAATTTGTCAAGGTTTGCAAATAAAGAAAGTGCTGTTCCATATTTGTAAGAAACTTTTGGATAGCCTTCAGTTGAAATAATTGATGTTAAAATAAGATTTTACTTGTTTTCATTTGAGCTGTGGTTATATAATTTTGTAAGTTAAAATAAAAATCAATGGTTTTGAAAAATGCAGTTGCAGCATGAAGATTTAAGTGGATTAAAATGATGTATATGGGGGTGCCTAGCTGGCTGAGTGTCAGCAGAGCATGCAACTCTTGATCTTAAGGTCATTAGTTTGAGTCCCACGTTGAGTGTAGAGATTGCTTTTTAAAAAAGTTTTTAAAAATCTTCATATTTGTATATGCATATAATACATAGGAGTAGAATGGTAATGATAGTCTTAATTCAGTCCATTGTTTAATGAATATTGGCTTGGAAAAGGTATAAATAACCACTCCTACAGAGTACAGTGCCTTCCAACATGGCAGGTTTTGTGTTGGGTGAATTAATGAGTAAACTCTAGTAGCTATGAATCATCATATGAATAAACCACACTAGTTAGACTTCATTTACTACTCCAGATTTTTATGTTTAAATGTTGAGTCTCACAGTTTAGAATTTAAGGCTGATTCTGAAAAACCACAATGTTTACATGGTAAAAGAAAAAGTCTTTAATGAAGTTTAGAGAACTATGAAGGAAGTGTTTTGCCTTGATTTTCGATAATGTTACTGTTGAAATTATTCAGCAAGTTTAATATCTGTTGAATACTTTTGAAGGCACATTAGCACTTTGAAGTTAGTTATATCCTCTTTGATAAGGTAGCAGTAAAAGAGCTAGTTGTATTTCCAGCTATCTCCAAAAACCTGCTTGTTTTTAGTAGCAAAATTAATACATACAGATGGAAAAAAACAAGGAAAAGAAAAAAGTTCTTCCCATCCCTCAACCCCCTTATGCATTCACTCCGATGCTATTTGAAAGAAATTAATGTATTGGGAAATAGGCACTAAGGAAAATATAATCTTTAGGAACTGCTATTTTCCAGGCACCACACATGGTTTCCCATGGCTGGAGCATAGCGTAAGAGGTGAAGGCTTGCAGGAGACGAGGCTGGCAAGCCAGGTGTAAGCTGTCCGTAGAAGCTGTTCTAGAATTTTAGGCATTCTCAGTGTGGGCTTGGGCAAGGTCATCTCTGGTGATAGTCGGGGATGGAATAGAGGAGGCTGGACAGGAGTTTAGTAAGGAAGCTACACTGCTTTGGAGATCAACCTCAGGAAGGTCATTATTCTGATATTATGTGGTTGGTGCTTGTCTATCATTTGGACCAGTGCTTTTCAAACTTAATATGCATGCACATCAGCTGGGGACCTTGTTAATGTGTCTGTTCTGATTCAGTAGGGCCAGTGGGTGAGGCATGAGATTCTGCATTTCACAGTCTCCCAGGTAGTGCTAAGACTTTGGACTGTAAGCAGCTGCAACACCTGCTCTTGGAAGAACTGAGTGCCGGCCACAGCCAGGGGCTGAGAGGAGTCCAGTTATCAGTCTGAGGGCCCCAAGTTAAAATGGGGACAGCCATACTGACTGATGTGAGCTCCTCGGAGCTGGAGCGGTCAGTGCTGTGTTGTAGCCCCCGCCCTCAGTTGTGGCAGGAGGAGCTTGCTAAGCTACAAGCCCTCTACCGATTCAGACACAGGCTTCCTAACCTGACACCGAGCTGTTGCATTTCTGCTCTGATCTCTCTTTGTATGTCAGAGCCCAGAGAAGAGGTGGTGTCCGGTAAGAGCTGGGCCACAGGCCATTGACCTGGGGCTGCAGGGAGACCCTGATGCTTTGAGGAGAAGCAAAACTGAATGTTTCACTATTACCTATTCTTTATTTATAGAATGTAAGCTCCGACTCAAACAAAAGTTTTATTATGTTTAAAAAGACATTATAAAGCTGTATTTGTACAGTAAAGTCAATTTTGAAAAATGGAGAAAATTTGTTACAAGAAAAAAATCAACAGAATTCCTATTTCAAATGTCTAAGCACTTACTGACGTTTTATTTCATCCTATGGTCTTTGTGCATACGTTGCCATTTATTTTAAAATTTTTTAACATTCATTTTAGAGAGAGAGAGAGAGAGAGAATGAGTTAGGGAGGGGCAGAGAGAGGGAGACATAGAATCTGAAGCAGGCTCCAGGCTCTGAGCTGTCAGCACAGAGCCCGATGCGGGGCTCAAACCCATGAACTGTGAGATCATGACCTGAGCTGAAGTCGGGTCACCACCTGAACCACCCAGTCACCCCTGTTACCATTTATTTAGGAAATATTTTTTATTGGGGCACCTGGGTGGCTTAGTCGGTTAAGCGTCCGACTTTCACTTAGGTCACAATCTCACGGTTTGTGGGTTTGAGCCCCGCGTCGGGCTCTGTGCTGACTACCAGCTCAGAGCCTGAAGCCTGTTTCAGTCTGTGACTCCCTCTCTCTCTGACCCTCCCCTGCTCATGCTGTCTCTCTCTCTCTCTCCTAGAAATAAATAAAACATTAAAAAAAATTAAAAAGAAAAAAAGAAAATATTTTTTATCAAATCAAAGAAAAACTTTAAGCCTACATTTTTGAGACTTCATTAAAGAGGACAGGCTTATTGGGTGTTTTGTTTTGCTTGTTCTTCTTGCTGCTGTTGAGTATTTTACAACTTTGGAACCGAGCACAAGTTTTAAGACCTAGTTATGCAATGGTTTCCTCACAGAAGCCCCGACCTACCCGCCAGTTATATTTGGGGGACAGTGAAGACAGGAGCCATTTGTATGTGTGTCCGTTGGTTGCTAATGCAGAGGCAGGACCCAAGACCCAGCAAGCTCAGGAATATTTGCTATGAGTAAACATGGACTGAAAAACCATATTAAATCTATCTCCTGATTTTTTTAATAAACAAAATTACAAAGAAAGTCTTTTCTCTAAGATTTTTTAAATTTTAATATTTTTAATATTTAGGAATTTGACATTGTGTATGTATTATGTCACCATGGATATTTGGGTTCTCCTTTTAGTAAGAGTCTGTTTAATATCTGGTTAACAGAAGCCTATGGTTTATTTTTCTATTCAAATTTCTAAATAAATAGACACAGGAAAAGTATGTGTTTTGCATATGCTAATTTTCTGTTGGATAACAGCTAACAATATATAAGTACTGAAAGACTAATACTCAAAGAGAAGGAGTGAGGCTAGTAGTTTCTGGGTCTTCATCAGCCCAGAATCCTTTATTGGCATACAGTTCTGACATTCTTTTTTTTTTTTAAATGTTTTATTTATTTCTAGGAGAGAGAGAGAGAGACAGCGTGAGCAGGGGAGGGTCAGAGAGAGAGGGAGTCACAGACTCTGAAACAGGCTCCAGGCTCTGAGCTGGCAGTCAGCACAGAGCCCGACGCAGGGCTCGAACCCACGAACCGTGAGATCATGACCTAAGCGAAAGTCAGACGCTTAACCGACTAAGCCACCCAGGCGCCCCTCTGACATTCTTAACCATATTTGATAGTCTTAATGCTTGCAAAGTTCTGACTCACACAGTTTCAGATGGTTAGGAACTGAAATACATGTAAGGGCCTCAAGAATTTTGCTCTGGGCTCTTCCTATCACAGATGGCCCTTAGAATTTCACATCACTTACTGAAATGCTGCCAGAGCAAGTGAACATGTGGAAATGAGCTTTCATCTGCAACTTGCCTAGAATCCTCTAGCTCTTGGAATTCTTCTGTGGTATGCTCTTTTGTACACTGCCCCAAAACACAGCTTGTATGCATGAGTATACCATGCTCTCTAAGAACCTAAGTCAGTCAGTGCTCTGAGAGGTCAGCTAAATAGAAAATACCAGTCAGTTATGCAAGATGAATAATTTCTAGAGTTCTGTACAATATCATGGCTATTGTTAAGAAATTCTGTCAAAAAGATAGATATCATGTTCAATGTTTTCACCAGAACTAAAAAAAAAAAGAAAAGAAATCCCAGTATAAGGATTATTGCTTTATTGGAACAAAACGTGTCAAAGATGACTCGATTAGCATTTCTGATTGTAAGAACAGCCCAATCTTTAGAGTGCCCTGTGAACTATTCTTACTTTCAGTTTTAGTTATTGGATCCTTCTGTGTTTACTGTCAGACAAATGAGTGGTCTATAGGGATTTACCTATTACTAATCCCATGTATATAGACTTGCTTTCTCTCAGATAATATTCTAAATGGAGACACTGTGTAAGTATTAATTAGTTTAATACAGTTTATTTTTAATAGATCATATCTGTGTTCTCCTTTAGCATGCATGAGTGTAGACAATAAAAATGACCCTCTGTTTGCTGCATACCACTGATCCTGGGTTTTGGTAATGAATGAAAATTTTAAAGAAAGAGCCTAGTGATGGTCAGCACTGAGTGCACCTTAAAATCGCTGGGGGCGGGAGGGGGGTGGCTTTTAAAATGATGTCTCAGCCCAGCCCCAGAAATTCTAATTTAATTGGTCTGAGAATGAGACTTCCTCAATGACATTTTATAAAAGATCTCCTGGTAAATGTAATACATAGCTATAGTTGAGAATCACTGGCACAGAGTAAATCCTTTTGAGCCAGGGTCTCTTGGCTTCTCAGAAGTTCTTCTACTTCTGACATTTTAATATGGACTGTAATGTCTATGTGTGCATGGGAAATTTTCAGAAGAGACCAAAGAATTTCAGATTTTCAAAGAGTATGTGACTTTAAATTTAAAAATCCTTAGTGTAGAAAATGAAAACAAAAACCGTGGACTTTTCTAGACAGCAAACCTTTGAAAATTTGAAGAGGAAGGGAAGTTGACAGTGAAGTCAGAAAAAGAGCATCAAAGGTAGGAAGAAGCAGTGATGTGCTGGAGCTGTCTGGCACCAGCCTGTGAGAGCCGATTATGTGTATGCCCAACTCTGTGCTCTGTGATGTCATGTTGGTGGCTTGAGTGTGGCCATGGTGGGAGTCTTTACACCACAGAGGTAGTAGATTGCCCTGATCAGCGCTCTCCTTCCTGCTTCCTCTCTCCTCAGGATACATTGTAGTAATGATGAAGGTCAGGTGAGGAGAAGTTTAAAGATACTCAAGAGTGCCAAGTGCCGCAGAACTCAACTGTAGTGATGCCTGAGAGCTGCTGGACTATCAGCTGACTCTTCAGAACAACTTTGGATCTGGTTGTTCAGGCTGGCTGCAAGTGCCCAATCTCATTCGTTCAGTAAATGTTTATCATGTGCTCTCCCCGTCCCTAATGTCTATGGAGGCATCTGGCAAAGTTCTGGATACATAAAGGGAAACATCAGAAGAAATAGATTGTGAGCAAGTAGAAAAGGATTTCAGCTTACCTAGAGGTGAAATGAGTTCCTTAAAGTCACACCAGTAATGGCAGAGATAAAACCAGAGCCTGCGTTTCTCAACATGCCCTCTCTCACTACACCGTAGTGAATTATATTTTAAGGAGTTAGGACTTTCTGTAAGTCAAAGATAGAGGTCATTTCTTCAGATATCATCATCAGAATAATACTCTTGGGAACTTATCAGCATTGAGTACTGGGATCGATTCAATGTGGAGAAAGCCATGGAGGAGCAGGTAGGCTGGATCGGAGACTGCTATAAGCCAAGCAAGAGAGTGCTAAGAGAAAGGTGAACTTTTGCTGACCATCAAACAGGAATTTTGTAAGATACAGAGGAAAGGGGCTGACAGTGTGAGACAGATGTGAAATGAGTTTAGGAAGAGATAGCTTGGAAGTGGTTTGGGGTGAGCACAAGGAGAGGGGGGACCAAGTGCAGTGATTTTCTCCACTGCCATGGTCATTTAGCTCATCAGGTCATTATTTACCTTTCTTCTTCAGGTTGGTTCTGTAGAGTTGGCTACAGAACATCCTTATCTGACCCTGACAATGTGTGAGACCTTCTGAATGCATTCTGTTCCTGCTGCTTATTCTTTAACTGATGGTAGTCACTACCATCCATGATTAGTATGATTTAATTCAATCTTGGGGGAAAAAACCCATCTGCTTTCTTACTTAGAGCAAGTAAATAATTTGAGTGTAGGAAGGACTACTTGTGATGGCCACTGATATTCTGGGCATTGCTATCATTTTTAGCTGACTGTCTATTATAAAGAGGTGGCATCTATTCAGGGAGGAAGACTTCAGGTTTGGAGAAATACCTTAGGGGAAGGCAAAGTGATTTTTTAAAAATGTGAGAATTGTTTAAAAGTATTAATGTAATTACAAGGATATATATTTGGTAAAGAAAAATTAAAAGCAAATACTAAAAAAAGAAGGAACCATGATATCTAATAAGAGATTTACTTTCAGTACTTCCTGTTTTAACCTAAAAATCCAACATATATTAATTTGTTTACAGGTGCTTTTCAGTGGGAAGAATTGGAAGAAGATATCAGGAAGAAATTGAAAGATTCTGGGGATGTTTCAAATGTAATTGAGAAAGTGAAATGCATTTTGAAAACACCAGGGAAGGTAAAATTACTTTATTGAAAATCAGTTTACATTGATGTTCTCTGAATTTTAACAGATATACTACTGTGATAATAATATTGAGTCATTAGAAGAGTCAATAGTATATAAATATGTTTTCTTGCGTCTGTTTTTGCCATTAAATATTTTAAACACAAACTTGTATTATTTCTCACTATCTCAGATTTTAATTCACATAAGAATTAAAATATGTGTGAGTCATATCTTTAAAATGTTGACTTGTGAATTCCATACTCTGAAACTTTCCCCTAGAGCTCCAGGAATATGCAATCTATGTCAAGAATGAAGCGCTGTTGAATTTGTCCAGTTATAGTTAAGCTTGTTAAAAGGCATGCTTTCTTGCTTTTCAGAATTTAAGTTCAGATAGTTTTCTGGAGCAAGGCAGTTTTTTTGTGTACTCTTTTCAAGAGTCCCGAGAAATTGCTTTGATCAGGTGGACAGTTAAGGATTTGTTTCTCATCTTACATAGGTTTAAAATTATAAGTGAAATCAAAGGTTATAAAATGCAGACTTTGTATCGAGTCATAAACATGTGCATGTTAAAACTCCAGTCACTTAGACTGCAGAGTCTGAAGGGCCTTAAAAATAAACTTGTTTATTTTAAGACAACAAATTATACAATTTAGCCAGTGTATTCTTATTTCAGATTCTGTGATAAACAAATTGGCTACAGTAGTTAAAAAGGTAAGTTATATGCAATGCCTAGCAGAATATAGACATGTTAAATGTGAGATAAAATATTATTCCTTTAATTTTTTTGTACAGATGACTGTCAATTCTATAACCTAAGTTAATGATGTTTTAGGTTAGTATTTTATTTTTTAAGCTGTTATGTTAAAACTGTACTAGCTTTTAATGAAGATTCCTGACTTATTTAAATGGAAAAAATTTTTTAAACAAAGTAATGTGGAATTAAGAAGCAAGACTTCTCTTGATTATCACACTGAAGCTGGTATTCGGAAGCTGCCCAGTTCTACAGAGTTATGGCAAAGTGGTAGCTGTCTTGCAGTCTAAGACAACTAAATAACGCTTTTGTAGAAATGTTCACATAAGCCTGCATTCTGTTTTTCAAAAGTTCTCTAGATTACTTGTTTATAGATCAGTGAAAATGTATGTTTATCAGCATTCTGTCCAAACAACTATCCTTCTATTTTTTTTTTCTTCAAATTCAAGGCATAGATAACACAGGAATCTGTTTATACAGATTATCTATCTATCTATCTATCTATCTATCTCTTTCTATTATCTATCTCTATCCATTCATCCATATATAATATATATCTACATATTATTCATGATATATAGACTCATAACCTTTATATGAATGGTTAGGACAAAGTGTTGCCTTCTGTTCTAAACCCAAGCCTTTCCTTGGTTGTGATTCCGAACACAGTCATTCCTTTGAGTACTGAGGTTAAAAAAAAAAATGAATTTTTGTTGGGGAAGAGGAGGTGGTAGCTGTACGATTCCATGATATTGAACTAAATTTCCTCCTTTGCATAGGAGGAGAGAAGAGTTCTGTGCTTTCTTGCTGTGCTTTCCTGGGATAAGGGTCTCTCTCATTCACTGAGTATAACACAGAGATATAATCCTGAGTTAGGAATCAGGAAATGTACATTTAAATTGTGAGTTGGCCATGAATTATCCCTGGGTCTCCTCAGGACTTTCTTACAATGAGGTATAAATGATGATTTCTGAAGCCCTTGCTAAGTTCTCAAATTCTGTGATGCTCTCTGACTTGCTCTGCTTCGTGTGTGGCTCCCATCTGAGTCCTCTCCACCAGTTCCTTTGATGTGAATTAAGGTATGTTGTGTACAGATCTGAGAATAGATGGTATGGGCCTAGGATTTGTATGATCCTGTTTTGCTTCTCTGCCTTGCTCATGGAAATCATTCTGGAATGATTTCTTTCTTTTTGTGAGTAAGGATAATAGTTTTGTTTTCCTCTTACCAAAGATTTTAACTTCCCACCGTAGTCGATTAATCCAGGATGGAGAATAGGTGCCATTTATTCTTATTGCTCCAGTTGTATGCTTGGTTATTTCTTTGGGATAAAGCTTTCTGTATTCCCTAGATAGCTAAGCAGAGGTCAGAGTCTTGACCCAGGCAGAAGTCCTGAGATTCAGCAAGGGAAACGGGTGAAGGGTAAGGGAAAGGGGCTGGCTCTTGAATTCTGGGGTTGGAACAAAGGATTGTCTGAAAGATAAACCAAGCACCAAATCCTAGGTGGAGGGTAGAGATGGGCTGGAGATTGCTAAGTCACACGGTCGCTCGTACTGGAGGCCACCATCTAGGCTAAGCAGATGTGAGAGCGCAGATAGGTGCAGTCATGGAAGAGGTTCTCTGAAACTCTGGATCAGAGATCCAGGCAACCTTTTATAGATTTCAGGAATCCCAGCTATGGGTAAAAAGACATTTAGGATTATAAGATTATACATTAAGATGGAAATGAATCAATTCATTACTTTCAGGTATTTTAATGTTGATCCTAGTAGACCATGATGTGATGGGGGAAATACATATTATTTTAAGTTAAAATTAAATTTTTATGTGTGTACCTTCTTAATTAGTGAATAAACACACAGGTTGTTTTTGTAAACATATTTTATTAGGCATTCATAGGAGGTTGGACTATTGTCTGTTTCTTAGGTAGCAGAGGTCTGCGTGGATTTGGGACCCCACATGTCTCAGCCAGCAAAATGATTTTTCACTTAGCCGGTTCACTCACTGCTGAGAACACTGGACAGGGCAGTGGTGCTTATTCTTATGTAGCACATGTCATTCTTGAGGGCACGTTCCCCTGACAGCTAGGATCAGAGATGCCATAGACTAGGTAATCCTTGTTTCTTCAAACATTTCAGTACAGTTTTCCAGATCCTCTAACCAACCTATATATATTATCAAAGCATATTGTACATTTCTTTTTGTATTTTTGTCTTCCCTTCTAGATAAATTGTCTAAGGAACTGCAAAACTTATCAAGCCAGAAAACCTCTGTGGTTTTATAACACTTCCCTGAAATTTTTCCTTAATAAACCAATGCTTGCTGATGTTGTCTTCGAAATACAAGGTATGGTTCAAATTTGCAAAGTTCATTACTCATTTTATTTCTTATTTTCTAACCTAACTTTATATTTCAGCTTTGAATATTTTGAATGAAGAAACGACTGTTCTCTAATGCAGATGTAGATTAATACTGACCAAATTGCAGCAGAATTTAGGGAAATGCAATATGTTGTTAAAATAAGGAAAGAAATTTATAGTTTCCTACTTTTTTTTTTTTTTTTTTTTTACCCTTACCTTACACTCCATTGACTTTTATGGGCGAGCATGCAGTGGAGTGAATTGTAACATCACCTCATTATATTTTTATCTGTGTATTTCTTTAAGACACTAGTTCTTAAATCATCTGAAATCAGCCCTCTTTACATTATATAACCTGTCACTGGTTCAGTTCTCTTTTTATTTTAGCAAAAGGAACTAACTATGCATTGAGGGTTATGCCCGGCTTACATTAGGCATTGGTAGATATTGCTACACTTATTCTTCACAGCACTCTGAGAATTATCACCAGAGCAACTGAGAGCTGGTTTTTATCTCTGTAAGAAAATAATGCTACCTAATTTTAATAACAAGTTGTTTTAATGCCCATTATTGATTATTCACTTGGATAATTTTGCTACTTGAGTAGATTAAAAGCATAATCTTAAAAATGAATTGTCAGTTACCTTCAACTCTGCAAGAAGGCTAGGGGTTGTTTCCAGATGTATTAAATAGAACTTCAGGTGGGCTATTACCAAAAGCAAGATATAATGCTAATTTTATGATAGAAATGGAAGGCAGCTAACAGTCACTTGCCTTTTTAACTTTGGCCACTTGCCAAGCCAAAGAGTGAATTGGAAACTTTCCCAAGTGCCTTCAGATAAGCTACAGTCAGCGCTGTTTGAAATGTGACCATGAAGCATTGAGAATGGGACTGTAAGAGTGACCTTGAAATACATAAAGAGTGATTTGGGTGGGGAAGCTAACAAGAGACCATATTTGCTTCTAATTTGCCTAGGAGGCCTTCACACCAAACATCATGTTAATGTAACCCACTGAAGAGATGTTCAAAAGGAATATACAACATATGAAAGCATATGTTAATAGAAAAGAAATAAGCAGTGCTGTGGAGAATTCTTTCCCCTTATAATCTCTTGCTTTTCCCTCACAATTTCACCTTCCAGCCCTTTTGCAGGCACCTGCCTGTGGCCCCTACCTGTGCGGAGGCCGGTGTGGGAGGGCCCGCTGTGGGCTGTGCTGATGCTCAGCTCCTGGGCTGCCCTTTGTCGCTCCTCAGCTCACAAACCAAGGCATTCCAAAGAGTCGGGAGCTGAGACAAGCAGGCATGGGTGGAAGCAGGGTCTAGCAAGGGCTTCTCGGTCATCTGGCCACCTGCAGGAGGAGAAGCGAGCTTACCTTCTGAAGAGTTTGGGGAGGGGAGCTCTAGTGTGCAGAAGGGAACAGTGTTGTCCCCTCAGGAGGAAGGCTGAGCCTGAGGTCTGCAACTCGAGCTTTAGCCTTGGCTCTGCATTCCCAGGAGCATGTGTCCTTAGGCCAGTCACGTAATGTGGCTTGTGTTCTCAAGTCTCATTTCTAGAGTGATGAAGGTGAACCGTAAGGTTCTAAAAGGTCATTTTTTGTGTTAAGCTTATGGAGGTGGTAGTGGCCAAGACTAGAAAGACCTGGCTGGGATCTTGCGCAGGTGCATATTTGTCATACTGGTGTGGCTGCCTTACTTTAGATCTGCTCCCTTGTTCCCTTGCCTGTAAAAAGGGGATACTCACTTCTACCTGGTAGAGTGGTCATGAGAATTGAGATGGTACATTACTATAAAGGTATATTGAAAGGCCTGATGGTACATATTCTAAATCTCTCTTGTCTTAGACAAGTTTCCTGTTTTCAGAGTAAAACAAAAACATTCTAAAAATTTCATTTTTGAAACTTGGAAAGTAATATATGAAGATAATTACTTCATATGTAATTTGAAATAGTGAAGAAATGATATGAAGAAGGCATGACAAATGTAGGATTTTACTCTAATATGTAATAAAAACAAAGATCTTTGATAATCTATGTTATTAGAAAACTTGGGCTTTTAAATTTTATATCACTCTTAAACATTCTTTCTTTTAAAAAGTTTCAAGGCACCTGGGTGGCTCAGTTGATTGAGCATTCTGCTTCTGCTAAGGTCATGATCTCACAGTTTGTGAGTTCAGGCCTCGCAGGGGGCTCTGTGCTGACAGCTGAGAGCCTGGAGCCTGCTTCAGATTCTGTGTCTCCCTCTCTCTCTGTCCCTCCCCCACTTACAGTGTGTCTTTCTCTCTCTCTCAAAAATAAACATTAAAACAATTATTTTAAGTTTCTAAAACTGTAACCAAAACTAACTACTACAAAAGGAATAGTTTAGGCCTTGACATTTTCAAAGAACATGTTTATCTTTTAACTAGAAAATTGATGCTTTTTTTTTTTCTCCTTTAATTCTTCAGCTTTATCTTATTGCTGTTTGGTATAATAGAACTGGATTGTGTTCATTCAGCATATTTTATACAGTGTTTCTATATTTATACAGTTTATATACTGTGTTGAAAAATGTGACTGTACTGCGGTGTTGTGTTACAGTTTCACAATAGAACAATTTATAATACCAAACAGTAGTTTGAAAAGGTGAGAAACAGAAATTGTGGTTTTCCTAACTGAAGGTATAGCAGTTGTCCAAACCAAATTCCAAGCTTGAAATGGGCTGAAAATGTCTTAATGTGTGTTTTGTTGCTGGTTTTGTAACTCTCTTGTAACTATATTGTCAATGGAAATTTTTTGTTAAAATTCCAAGGTTACATGTCAGATTCTTCCCCCATTCTTTCTCCTGTCCGTTTGGCATTTTGGGTCAATCTTAAATCCCTCCTCTCAACCCAAATAACAGGCTATAAAATTAAACAATGCTTCTAATTTTCCTTTTCTTTCTTTTTTTTTTTTAATTTTTTTAAATGTTTTATTTATTTCTAGGAGAGAGAGAGAGCCAACGTGAGCAGGGGAGGGTCAGAGAGAGAGGGAGTCACAGACTGAAACAGGCTCCAGGCTCTGAGCTGGCAGTCAGCACAGAGCCCGACGCGGGGCTCGAACCCACGAACCGCGAGATCATGACCCAAGCGAAAGTTGGACGCTTAACCGACTAAGCCACCCAGGCGCCCCAGCCTTTTCTTTTTCTTTAATAGTACCCTACTTTGAGATTTCAAAACCTTAGAATTCTAAGTCCAATTGCATGACCTGTTTTAATTCTTTGTCAATTGCTGTGCACAGAGCTGCTCAGCATGCTTCATCATGGAAACCGGTCATCCCCATCAGTGGACACTGTTCCATTGAGGGCAGGCCGCCTAATGGTAAAAGGGCAGGGAATGGAAAGAACGAAGAGGGGATGATGCCCGCTAGCAGGTGCGTGATGACCCAGTAGCAGTGCTCACTGTATGTAGCCTCTTCTCCCTGCTCCTGTGGGAGGTGCATTTGTGCAAATCATAGCTCCAAGCGCTGAACTCAGAACTGGCAGTGTTGGGCATTGCTTGTGAATTGTAAGGGATTACTGGCTTTGGAGAAAGTCACTGGACTTAGGTGGAACTCTTTCCTTCTTTTCTGAACCGGAAAGTGTCTTGTTTGGACTTAGAGAGGCTGAAGAATCCAATCATTGTAAATATTTTAGAGACGAATATATGCTCTGGAGAGGTAGGAGATTTTAAGGATGGATAGGTGAAGACTCTTGGGCAGAACGAGTGGTTTGGCGCATAGTGTTACTTTTTGGAAAGCTTTGTCATTCACACCGGCTGTGGTGTCTTGCACCAAACTAAACCCTTGACTGCCCCAAAGCAGGGTGGGTTTGTCTTTCTCATCTTTGTATCTTTAATACTTAACACACTGATTGGCATGTGGCGGGTGCTCGAAAATGGTGTGTGAAACTGATCTAGACTGAACTGAGGTCTGCCGTGGATTCGTGGGTTCTTAAGGTGGTGGGAGTGGTGGTTGCTTCTCCACCCACGTGCCACCTGGTGCAGCCTTGGTGCCATGGCACAGTAGCTGCAGACATTAGCAGGCGTTCACTAGACAGCCAGGTTAGTCTGCTGAGCTTCAGTGAACGGTATGGGCTGAGGGGCCTTTAAAAGTTCAAGGAGCTCTGGGCTCTCCCAGAAGTAGCAATGTTCCCTGAGGAGGTGGTACACTGGAGAGACACCTGGGGTCTAGGTCATCCCTGTCCAACTCTTCCATAAGGTCTGAAATGACTCCACAAAAGATCCCTTTACCATACTTGCTGTGACACATGGACTGCTTAGGCTGAGGGATAGTTCACTTTCTACAGGCTCTTGTTTCTGGTAAGGGGAAGCCTGGCCAGGTGTGTCCAAGAAGGGTAATGGCAGTGTTTTCTTGGGAGGCACATAGGTATAAATGGGTGATGGAATTTCAAGCCAGTTGTAAAGGATACATGCTTCATTATAAAAATAGGAAGCAAAATATTTCATTTCAATGTTTCTGTCTTCAGAAAATATGAACTAAGTAGCAATTAATTGCCAGTCTTAATTTCCTGTCTTCTAATTGTTGGTTTCAAAGTCAACTTTTGAACTCTTTGTTTTTCAATTAAAAACTAAAAAGCTTCTGATTAATGTTGATCATCTCTCCAAAATTTGCTTTCTGACATCAGCTTAGCTGTGCATCACACAAAGCCACTCTAACTAAAGGGAAATTGCTAGAATAACAACTCTGCATGTTTATGTAACTTACCTTTGTTTCCCTTTTGAACCTTGCAGGTACAACAGTGCCAGCGCACAGGGCCATCCTGGTGGCCCGTTGTGAAGTGATGGCAGCCATGTTTAATGGGAATTACATGGAAGCAAAGAGTGTTCTGATTCCAGTTTATGGTGTTTCCAAAGAGACTTTCTTGTCATTCTTAGAATATCTATACACAGACTCCTGTTGCCCAGGTGAGCAGCATAAATATTGGGGAGTATCTCCTGATTCCTTGTTTCCTTATCACTTGATAAATTACTTTCTGTGAAATTTGTTTTTGCGTAAGACTTATCACAGTTGACATCATGGAATGTGCTAATCAGGTGGAGGTGGTATTGGGATAACAATGAATTTTCAGTCAGTTCAAGTGGAGGAACAGTGGTTGGGTACCTCTTTCAGGCTTTCAGACTCAGGCGTGAGTCCCAGCCGACACCAATAGTGTGGCGATTCTGTGGGCACCCTAGAAATGGAGGTGACTGATGGTCCCCAGTGACTACTATAATTCTATAGATTGGGACAGAGACCTTCTTGAAGGACTATCCTTCCATAAAGAGAAGAAGGTTAGGTAGTTGCTTTTATGGCTCTAACTTCTGATTGAGGTACTTTTAAGGACTTTGGATATTCTGAGACACCTCCCCCCATTAGTCATCTCTGTGGCTCAGAGAATGTAGCGTTTTTTAAGGCCTTATTTTGACTTCTCTTAAAGTCATAATCTCTTTAAGCTAACTTCTCCAAAAGCTTTATCTAAGAAGTTTAGGATACCTGGTGGACTATAGGATTTATTTCCCTATTCACTGACTTAAGACTATCTCTGACTAAGAACTAATCATCTTTGGCAGCTACAAGCTGGAACATATCTTGCAGGTTTTTTCCAGCTGTGGTGGCAGTGTGTGTGGGGGATGTTGGGAGGGTAGGGGTTGGGGGCCTTAGAGAAATTGCAAAATCCTTTCAAAAGGCCTAGAGCCTGGGAATGCAGGTGTGGAAGCCCCTTTAATTAGTCTTCATCCTCTGGCCACCAGATGGCTCCCACCACAAACAGGACCAGAGTAAATCTCCCGTGGTTTACTTCATTCAGGATCCCATGACCTTGATTATAGAACCTGGCCAGGCACTCTAGCAAAGATAAAAAGAAAACACACATTTCAGACCATCCCTCTCTTCAGATTTATTGCTTTCATTTTTAGATTTGGAAGATTTCCAAGTTTGTCATTAAAATCTCTTGTTTTAAACAAGTCATGAGCCCTCTAGTGAAAGGTTTTAGAAGATCAAAAAAAGAAATTCCTTTTTTTAACTGAATTAATTTTGGTCTTGCAGCAAGCTATATACAGTACTGTGGAGCCAGTTACAGTTGCTACTGTGAGTGTTAAAGACTGGCTTATCCTTTTTGCTTAATAAAAGTGAAAGCATCAGTTCTCATCAGAATGTGTGCTATTGTTTATTTTATTATTTTAAAACTGCCAAATTTGTATATTAAATAAAAATTTGGACCCAGATTTAAAATAAGACAATTTAATTTCTCAGTCATCCTCCCACTAGAGTAATTGAAGATTCAAATTATAGGTTTTCTCTTGCTAATTACAAAAAATGCTCAGAGAAACACTATTAACTATTGGACAGAGCACTTTAAAAATTGGTAAAAGGTATGGGGAGAAAGTGAGTCAAAATGAATAATCAAAACGTAGATCAGATACTAAAATGTTTGCACTGGGAAAGAAAGGTAATCTAATCATTATGTTAAGTATTGATCATGCAGTTTTCTTGGTTCCTAGCTACAAAACAATGCAAGGAATTTAAGGAGGGGTTAGAAAGAGAATTACCGGAAAAATCACTTAGAAGGAAGAGTTTAAAAAAAAAAAAGTGGCATCTGGGTGGTTCAGTTGGTTAAGTGCTAACTCATGAGTTCGAGCCCGTATTGGGCTCTGTGCTGATAGCTCAGAGCCTGCTTGGGTTCTGTCTCCCTCTTTCTCTCTGCCCTTCTCCTGCTCATACTCTGTCTCTCTCAAAAATAAACATTTTTTTAAAAAGTAATAAATAAATAATTACTTTTTAAAAAAAAAAGCATAAAGAACCTGAGTGATTACCAGGGGCCAAGGGAAGGGGGAAATGGGAGTTACTGCTTAATGGGTGTAGAGTTTCAATTTGGGAAGAAGAAAAACCTTCTGGAGAAGGACGATGATGGTGGTTACATAACAATGTGAATGTACTTTAATGCCACTGAACTGTACACTTTAAAATGGTTGATGATAAATGTTATGATCTGTGTGTTTTGCCACAGTAAAAACAAACAAACCTGGGACTAAAGCCGGAAGAAGAAAAATGTGTAAGGGTTTAGTTTAGCTAGCTGAAAGAATTACACAGTAGCCTTAGAATTGATTATTAAGGGCAATTGTAGATTCTCCTAGTCTGAAGAATTAAGAGAACAAGCAAAACCAGAAAACAGTGGGGGCGCCTGGATGGCTCAGTCAGTTTAACACCTAACTCTTGATTCCGGCTTAGAGCGTGATCTCATAGTTCTGGAGATGGAGCCCTGTGGGGCCTCTGTGCTGACATTGCGAAGCCTGCTTGCGATTCTCTCGCTCCCTCTCTTTCTGCCCTTCTCCTGCTGGTGCTCTCTCTCTCAAAATAAATACATAAACTTAAAAAAATTATTGAAAAGATTCACTTTGGAGTGTGAAGGCTTAAATTAATTTTTTTTAAATGTTTTATTTATTTCTAGGAGAGAGAGAGAGAGAGAGAGACAGCGCGAGCAGGGGAGGGTCAGAGAGAGAGGGAGTCACAGACTGAAACAGGCTCCAGGCTCTGAGCTGGCAGTCAGCACAGAACCCAACGCGGGGCTCGAACCCACAAACCGCGAGATCGCGACCTAAGCGAAAGTTGGACGCTTAACCGACTAAGCCACCCAGGCACCCCTTAAATTAATTTTTTTTTTAAATGACCTAATAGGGGTGCATGGCTGGCTCTGTGAGTGGAGCGTGTGACTCTTGATCTCAGCGTTGTGAGTTCAAGCCCAGTGTTGAGCATAGAGATTACTTAAAATCTTAAAAAAGATAACTAAAATGGCATAATAGTGTATAATGCTGACTCACTTCCTCACGGCTTTTTCTGTGCATTCTATTATACCTTGGATGATACAGTCAGCATTTTTTTGTTGGTGGTGGTGTTTTGCCTTTTGTTATTTTGTTTCAGGTCATAAAAGAAATGGCTTCATTGTCCATTTTCTCTTCTTTCTCCTCCATCATCAGCTGGCATTTTTCAGGCTATGTGTCTCCTGATCTGTGCTGAGATGTATCAGGTGTCCAGACTGCAGCACATCTGCGAGCTGTTCATCATCACACAGCTGCAGAGCATGCCGAGCAGGGAACTGGCCTCAATGAACCTGGATATAGTTGACCTGCTAAAAAAAGCCAAGGTAATTGGCCCTATGCATCTGGTTGTTTAATTTTAAAAAAAATCTTCTAAAAATTCTACTTTAAAATTTTTTTTCTGTTTATCAAGAGACTTATTAGTGTTTGTCTTAGTTTGGAAGTTTGGCGAAATGAGGGTAAAGTGCTCTCATGGCAATTTCTGTGGCTAGACAATTTTGAAGAATATGATTTTTACACGGTCCTTTTCTGAGGAGGTTGAATTTGCTGATAGGAAATGTTTCAACTAATGACGGCCTGTATTAGAGTCATTTGAGTATGTTGCTTTACTATGCCATATAAGCATTATAGGAAATAGATTACTTTGAATTTCCCCCAATCACATCTTAGGGTTCATGAAAGAAAAATGATATAATTGGTCTGTACACACTGATAGAGATGGTTAGGCTAAATTCATTTATTTGTTCATTCACCCATTTTTCTACTTCATGGACATGTTTTGAAGTTCCCAGTTGTTTGTAGGAGGTATGGATGTACTTCATAAATCCTTTCAAATGCCTTTTATTGATCTGTCTCGTGGTATCATTGAATATATTCAGTAAAAACATTTGAGTTGATAGTCACTGCAGCACACTGTACTTTCTGGCTTCTTCCAAGCTTCGAGCCATTTTATTTTTAAGGATTGTATTCCTGCACATTCTAGGGAACAGCATTTATACAGTTAAGCTAATTATGAGTAACTGCAGGTACAAAGATTGTTGGAGGCTGGCTCTGGCAGGTCCAGGGGTCCCTGAAGGATGGACGGTGTCGGTGAGAGAGAGAGTGAGAGAGCCCCGAGATTCTTTGTGGTCACCAGGCAGGCATCTCTGTCCTGTCGGTTTTGGTGTCTTTATTTTAAGGTTCAACAATAACATGACATCAGAAGACAGAATTTTTACAGGGGCTAATTATTTGTAATAATATGCTTTGATCAACGGAAGGTGTACAGAAACAGGCTTTACAAAAGTATTCTTGCAGAACCTCCCCATATTCTTGACGTCAGTCCCCCAGATTAAGATACTAACAAACTTATCTTACTTTGCATGGATAGGCCTCTAGACATTTTTTAATCACAAGAGGAAGAATGTATATTAGGCTTGTTCCTAAGTTGCTTGAGCAAACCTTCTCCTTGATGCTGAATGTACAAGCACAATCGGGGCCGTAAATGTGTCAGTCTTTGCATCTGGGTTTATGTTTTACCTACTCTTATCTATCCTCATCCCAGCTGCCGGTGTAAGGGAGGGGGTTTGTGGGATGTAGGCCTTGAGGAAGGGACTGCTATGCTTCACCAGTTAGCAAAAATACATGTAATGACTTATGTTCTGCCCTCATCTGTACCTTAACTTTAAATTAGGCTCTTTGTCTCGGGGCCAGGCTCAATTGTAACTCTTGTGTTCTTAACCCCCATTTTTTTTTTTTTTAATGTTTTATTTATTTTCAGGAGAGAGAGAGAGACAGCGTGAGCAGAGGAGGGTCAGAGAGAGAGGGAGTCACAGACTGAAACAGGCTCCAGGCTCTGAGCTGGCAGTCAGCACAGAGCCCGACGCAGGGCTCGAACCCACGAACCGTGAGATCATGACTCAAGCGATAGTCGGACGTTTAACCGACTAAGCCGCCCAGGCGCCCCTTAACCCCCATTTATTATCTCAGTCTTGGATCTGCAAGGTCCATAGGAAGAGCCTTTTGACAATCATCCACAGAGCTTTCATCTAAAATCTCTTTTGTAAAGGTAGGAATATGCTTTTCCTTATGAGGTATCTGTGTTCAGAATATGGGTCTGATATAGAATATTGTGAGGCCTGGTCAGTACCAGCAGGCTCATTTCCAACATGAGCCAGTAGTAGCAGAAAGAGATACCAGTTTTCGTTTCTCATGGCAGGAGCTGTGCAAACATTGTCATTTCCTTGCTGTGACTGCCCTCCAGAGAGGCCGGTGTGGCTCCCGGCAAAAGATCCTAGAATATGAATCTGACAAAGGACTGGGCCACATCTATAAATAAACTTGGTCTGGCTCTGGAACTCTCCTTCTGGAACTTGGAGATGTTGTTCCAGCCAGAAATCTGCTATTTCCTCATTCCCACCCTTTTATTCCTTGGAGCAAGAAATGTATCCAGATGTGTCAACCTATCCTTGGTTATTCTACCATTCCATCCCCAGCCCTATGACATTTTCAGGGCTGACAGCAGTCATGGAATATAATGGTGTATATTGAACTTGCAGTAAGCTGAACCTTCTGGTCTTTTTTACAGGAATATATTTGATCCATCATTGGAGACTGTCCGGACTTTGTAAAATATTATTTGGCATACAACACATTGGCTATCCTGATCAGTTTTGACATCCAAAATTAGAAAAATGTAACAACTTTGTTTTCAGGTTGCTAAAACAGAGCCACATAATGGGGCCAAGGACAGACTCTTGACAATTAAAAGCCTGCCCCCAGGTTGAGACAAATTCATTAAGCAATGTGTATATTTCTGGGTGTAGAAGGGAATTCATTTAAAGCATCTGGTCTTTTCTTACTTTCTCCTTAACTATTTTGGAGTTTCTTTCTTTTATAAACATCTTACGTATTTAATTTTAAAAATAAAAACAAATTAGAAAAACTGAGTAACCGTTTGCACATGGTTAGAGCTCAAAGCTGAGCCGCTGGCTGGCCAATGGACTTACAAGTGCAGTGTGCTATATGAGGCGCAAGTCTTTTGCCGACACCACAAGGGTCTCTAGCCCAATGAGTAGAATTTGGTAGTAATTCTAGTTAAAAGAAAACAAAACAAAACAAAAAAATATTAACCTTGATCTCTCTTTGTAATAATCTTTACATTGAGTTTGGGATAAATACCTTCTAAATTTAGTTTAAAAACTATTTTTTATTCTTTCTAATATTTCCTTCCACAACCTCAGTTCATTTCTGATGTGTTATTTTCATACTATTCTAACAAGTCTGTCAGACTTGTCTCACAAGCTTCTCTTTCCTTATTCCTGTAGTACCCTGTCAGTTCAGACAACTTCTTGTGTGGTCCCATGGATTTTTAGGTGCCTCCTGCACACATGCACGTATGCATGTTTCCTCACCAGTGTCACTGATGATTGCCTTGTCAGAAATTCTCCCTGACTCTGTGCTTCCTGATTATGCAATTATCGTTATTTATTTATCTTCAATTTTAAAAGTGTAAGATATCAGCTCTTTTTAAATTCTATTCATTGTTTCTGAAGACTATTCTATTTTCTAGGATTAAGTCCCCATTTACCAGTCTTCCTTTATTCTGTTCTTAGTGGTTCCTAATTTGGCGATTTACAAATCCAAGGTAATAGGATAATTCGCTTCCTCAGTTCTCTTTTGAAGTTCCTAGTTTGAGGCTTTAGTTTACCAACCAGTTCATACTGTTGGTCGTAATTCAACCTTTCCTTCATTGTTTCTCCGACTAATAGAAGGAGAAACTGTCTTTTTTTTAATGTTTTATTTATTTCTGAGAGAGAGAGAGAGAGACAGCGTGAGCAGGGGAGGGTCAGAGAGAGAGGGAGATATAGAATCTGAAACAGGCTCCAGGCTCTGAGCTGGCAGTCAGCACAGAGCCCAACGTGGGGCTCAAACCCACAAACTGTGAGATCATGACCTGAGCCGAAGTCGGAGGCTTAACCGACGGAGCCACCCAGGCGCCCTAAAACTTTTAATAGACTTAGACTTTGAGTAGATTTCTGAATAATCAGTTTCTGAATACTCTGTTGTCATCTCTGCTAGTTTTGTACTGTTTATCAAGAAAGCATCCTTCATACCTTCCATGGGGTGGAGCAGTTTGGTGTTCTATGACTTTGGCCCTCTAACCTTTCTCAGTTCATCACAGTAATTCCACCTTCAGGTTCAGATTTGTCCATCAAGTTTAACTCTTTAACATCTAAGAGAAGCTTCTTTCCCTTAATTAGATTAATTTCTCTCATGTGAGGTAAAGATCTCCTTATCTCTACTCCCTTTTAAATCCTATCTGGCCAAATGTTGATGATTCCTATGAAGTCCTGTTAACTCTAATATTAAAGTTTTAAAGTCAGTATCTTACTTATGATTTATGTGTTAATATTTGACTGCTTCAGGCCACCAGTTTGGTTTCTGGCCTTTTCCTTGTGAGTTTCTGGGTGTTTTCTCCACCATTATTATTCTTCACAGAACTATTAAATGCTATAGCATTTGGTTTATAGTATTTTTGTTCTGTTATTTATTTCAGTTTAAGCCTGCTTTCTCAGGTTAGTACATATTCTTCCAAAAAAGTAGTTCTTACAGTAAAATGCATTCAGTCTCTTGCTAAGAGCCTGTAATTGTGACATCTCAAATCTTGGTCAAAAATAAAATTTTGCATTATAACCATGTTTTTGTAGCCAGCTATTCATTTCAATGATCTTCCTTCTATTTAAAGTCACAGCCCTTAGGTGATGTTCTGAACTTAGGTTGTTTCTAGGTTATCTGCTTTGGGTTAATCCTCTGATAGCGCTGCTGGCTTCTGTTAAAAATAAAAAAAAAAAAAATAGCTGCACATTCTTATTCCATCTCTAAGATCACTCACATTTGTCAGCTAAAAGATAAGGTGAATTAAAATTGTTAAAATGTGACCTGGGATTAGCTGAATTAAAATGTCTTATGAAAAGTGTCAGAAATTGTGATTTTGTATAATGGAAATCAGAGGGACCTGTGAATTTGTATGTGAAAATATTCCCACATTATAACTTTTTAGAAGAGCAATACTTGAGTTCCTTCCTTAAGATTTAAGATTATAAATTTTTCTTCAATTTCTCATTACTTCTTGCCTATATTTTTGAATTTCTTAAAAGAGCTGTATTTAGCATAAAGGTGGGAACAACCTAAATGTCCATCAATAGATGAATGAATAAATAAAATGTGGTGTGTACATACAGTGGAATATTACTCAGCTTTAAAAGGAAAATGAGGGGCGCCCGGATGGCTCAGTCAGTTAAGGCTCCGACTTCGGCTCAGACCATGATCTCCCAGTTCGTCGGTTCGAGCCCCACATCGGGCTCTGTGCTGACAGCTAGCTCGGAGCCTGGAGCCTGCTTCAGATTCTTTGTCTCCCTCTCTCTCTGACCCTCTCCTGCTTGCACTGCCTCTCTCTCTCTCTCTCTGTCAGAAACATTACGAAAAAAGGAAAATGAATTTTAATACATGCTGCAACATAGATGAAACTTGAGAACATTATACTAAGTAAAATAAAGAGAGATAGCATAACTACTGTATAATTCAGTGTTTATGAGTTACCTGGAATAGACAAAATCATAGAAAATAGAATAGTGGTTACCTGGGGCGCCTGGGTGGCTTAGTCGGTTAAGCATCCGACTTTCGCTTAGGTCATGATCTCGCAGTTCGTGGGTTCGAGCCCCGTGTCGGGCTCTGTGCTGACTGCCAGCTCAGAGCCTGGAGCCTATTTCAGAGTCTGTGACTCCCTCTCTCTCTGACCCTCCCCTGCTCACGCTGTCTCTCTCTGTCTCCTAGAAATAAAATAAAAAATATTTAAAAAAAAAAAAAAAAAAGAATAGTGGTTACCAGGGCTTAGGGGAAGGGGTAAAAGAGGAGTTATTATTTACTGACTACAGAGTTTGGGATGATAAAAACGTTCTGGAAATAGTGGTGATGGTTGCATAATAACATGAATGTACTTAATGCCACTGATGACCTTAAAAAAGGTTAAATGGCAAATTTTATGTTACATCTATTTTACCGCAGTAATAACAAACAGAACTACACTCCTGTATCGAAGCTGCCTGCCACAAAGTTACTGTAATCTGAATTGAGTGGTTAGAGGGATCTCAGTGGACTGGCACCAAGGTTAAGATGTCATGGCCATGGTGCTTCAAGTTTCCCTTCCATTAGCTATTGAAACTCAGAATGAGAAATGTGCTGGAAATGCTGTTCACTGTCACAGAACATCCTAGTTAAAACCAACTGTTCAGACATAACCTTCTCAGAGAAATATGTATACATTGAGACCCATACCCTTAGGTTGATGACGTTTCCTCCACGGTGTTTTCTAGGTTTGCTCCTCAGGTGAACGTGTACAGATTTGGCCAAGTGTGTACCTTTGTTAACCATAATCTTGTCTCTGTAACCCAGACAGAAGTGCAGTTGGTGAAGGCTGGGATCTTAGATTAAAAGCTTAAACCAAATCCCCCAGAGCCTTAGCTAGTCTTGTTAACCCCTGCTGTGGGTGCCTCTGCTTCAGGCATTTAGCCGCTCCAGCAGCAGGAGCTTGTTGTCCATTTGATTTGGTTTCTTCACGGCTGTAATCTTATGATTACATGTTGGTCATTCCCCCCTTCCTTTCTGCTCTCAGAGCAGCCCGAAACACGGCCACAGTGAGCGCACAGTGAGGCTCTTGTCGCAGACTGCGCTCCCAGCCTGGTCCCCCTGTAGATGGCTGTCGTGCCCTGCACGGTCTCACGCTTCATTTTTCTTGCAGTTTCACCACTCCGAGTGCCTCTCAACCTGGCTGCTCCATTTCATCGCCACGAACTACCTCATCTTCAGCCAAAAGCCTGAGTTTCAGGATCTTTCAGGTAGGTTGGCAGTTACCATTTGGAGAAGAAAATTGAGTTCTTGGTTCTTACATTTGAGACATAATTTGTAGGATAGTAGTTGTTTAAAAAAAAGTAAAAATAAAAAAGCGTCATACATTTCTTTAAATAGTGCAGGGGCTCCTGGGTGGCTGGCTCAGTTGGTAAAGCATCTGACTCTTGAACTCAGCTTAGGTCTTGTCACAGGATGGTGAGTTCTAGCCCCATATTGGGCTCTGCACAGAGTGTGAAGCACTTACAAAAAAAATACTCAGTGTGGTAATTGAGGACTCTCTACCTTAGAATCAGCTGGCTATACAAGTAGCTTGACCTATGTCACACAAGAAGTTTTCTAATGATTGTTTTATAGCTTCCATCCATTTTTAAATGCACCTTTTTTTTCTGAAGTAGAGAGATAAGGTGACCTCAGGTGGCATTTGATTGTGATTAAATGAGATCTTGGTTTTAATCACCTAAGTCAGGAGCAAAATTTAAATAGTACAGATTTCAAAAGGCTTTTTTTGTGAAAGAATTGAAACTATCATTTAGTGTTTATATCAGTTCTATTGTTCTGATATCTGTATCTATTTAAGTATGTATAGGAATCCATTAAATTACTTGGGAATAACAGGTTTTTTATTGATGAATGTTGCAAAACTTCCCGACAGAGAGTATATATAATGTGATCTGTAAGGTAAATTATAAACATTAAAAACCAATCAAAGTGTGAGCTTCTGAGTGCCGCATAAGAAAAAAGAAAATGAGAACAAAATAGTCATCAGAGTAACAGTTTAGATACAGTGCTTTCCTCATGTTACCTAGAATAGGCTCAAGGAGTAATCAAGTTAAAAGGCAAAGGAAATTAAAGATCACCTAGTTAAGTAGTTTCAAACTCTAAACAGGGACACGTCCTTGGAGATAGATGCCTGAAGGTTTTCTGAGGTGGGGGCAGAAACCAGGGAGTAGCTGAGGGAAGAAGGAAAGAAGAGCAGGCTGAAATTTGTACTTCATGGATGCCCCTGCTTTTATATCTTAGAGTTTTCCATAAAATTTTACTTCTAAAAGATAATCTGCTGCTAACAGATTTGAAAATCCCTGGTTTCTTTCAGCTTCTTGCACAGTTTAGAAAACCGGGAAACACAGAGTCTGTTTTTGGCAGATAGATTCAGTTAGTCAAAAACATTGTATGCCTACTGGGAGCCTTACATAGAATTTAGCTATTAGTGCAGTAGAGCAACATAATAAATTGAAGTCGAATATACATATTTACTAACCGTATACTTTGTGCAAGAAAGAAATAAACCATTCCATTCATAAAGATAAGGCATGCTTCTTGGTGTTAGCAGAGACATTCTTATACAGTTATTCTGTAAGAAGTCCATTCAAAGTGAAAGGAACGAATATTGTGATTTTAGAGCCACTTTCATCATGCTGCCTTAGGTCCCCTTCATTTGTAAAAGAATAAGATTATTTTCCACTTACTGTCTTGTATAGAAATGTGCCACACATGGAGTACTATTAACATCCTTAGGAGAAAGATGCTCCATAAATCTGTTGGGTTATACATTTTTATCTTATTTTATTATACAGTTGACTGTGAATTATGTTATGACTGCCTGGCAGAGTGAGAAGCAGGACTCCAGTGTGTCCTTTGAGAAGGCAGGGTGAGAAGATGAGGCTGTGTCAGTGATGGTCTTAGAATCCTTGAATGGGAGTTAAAAAGGTATCAGGAGTGTTCTGATTCACTGATACCTGTTTATGTTCAGGACCTGCTGTGGTGTGTCCTTGTAGGCAGTGAACAAAGCCTCTGGTGGATAAGGGAGAATTTGCTAGTCTAACTTAGTAGTCACAAACTAGAAATCTGTGGGTTGAATGCAGCTGAATATAGTTTGTCAGCGGTTTTATTTGGGTTACTTTTTTTTAGTGGTCACCATGTAAAAATTGTAACATGACACACTTCTGGCTTCTTTGAAAAGTTGGAAGATCTGGTTACTCTGGACCCCTCTTCCCACATGGCCACAACCTGGAACTGAGCAAGTAGCTGCCCTTTTAAAGGAGCATGTCCCCTCCAGAGTATCCTAGTCACCTCTCCTCCTCCTTGTTGCCTTATACTTCAACTCTTTCACAGGGTCACTTGAAGTTGGAAGGGTTCTTGTCACCATCAATTTACAGGTCCCTTAAATAATTTCCCATTTCTGGTTTCAGAAAAGTATCAAATTATTATTGGAATTATGTGAACTCTTTTCTCTTGAGTAAGAATTCTTCTTTGGGGTTGTTTAGAAATTGAAAAGTAAGAGTAGACAAGATGTTATGTTAATGCTGGCATTGATGCAACAAAACTTAGTCAAATAGCTTTAAATTTTAGATACATTTTATATGCTGGACTCTTTTGAAAACAAATAGCAATACACAAGAATATGAGTTACCCTTGACATTTATGGATTCATTATTCCCACAGTTTAATTTAGCCCAATATTATGTTACATATTATATATTACGAAGTTTTTTGGTCTTATTTTAGTTTTTGTTGGCTGCCAGAGCTCACCTGTGATAATTTTTCTCTCTGTTTTTTTAAATTGTAACTGAGGGAGTAGTCTCAGGTCTTCTTTTCTTCGTAATGAAACTACAACTAACTTCCTTGAGCTGCTAGACTGTTTCTTTATATCCAGGTCCTGCAGCCTGGATCAGGTCCTCATTAATCTGAATTATGATATATAAGGTCAAACAGTAGATGGAGAAGTGGGAACTGACTTAGCAGAAGGAAATCTAAGTACCCACGGATGGGAATACTATGAGAAACAAGCTGGTTCACCCAGCAGAATATCAAGAAGCCTTAGAAATCTCAGGGACCAGGTATTTCAGAAAGCAGAATGAGGCTTGGGGCTGAAAGCAGTAGAATTAGTTGAAAGTTGATGAAGAAGCTTTTGCTGCACTCCATCCCACCCAGGCAGGCAACTCCTTTTCCCTCATCATCCTGGAATGGGAGGTTTATTCCTGGAGAAATTAAACCAAAAAAGTCATAGAATCACAAACTCCAGGTATAGCTGAGATTGGTTTAAGGAGCTAGACTGAAAACTTAAGGAGTCATGTGTAATTGTGCATGTTGTACAGTAAGCCTCCAGCCTCTTCCTAGAATTTCTGGAAGCTGGGTGTTTGCCACCTTGACTCCTATACTCTAGGCATGAAATTGAACCATCTTTCTCTGGTCTCAGAGAACAAATTTATAGGTACGTTCATTTGGGAATTCTTTCAGTGAACCCAACAAGTATCTGCTCAGTTATTCCACCAGTCAGTAAGTCCTTCTCATGACCACAAGATATCCAAACAGCTTTCTAATATCTCACTCTTAAATGTAAGGAGACATCCGAGGATCTGCAGGTATTTTAGGCAGTGTCCAATATGGAAGATAGATACCAAAACCAAAATAAAATTAATAAAAACAGAAGAGAAAGGATTTAGAGGAACAAAGAATAGGAAAAAAAAAACCCTTTAAAAATTATAAAATTAATATCTTGAAAGAATAAGAGACATAAATCCATAAAGCAGAATACAGTGTTATTTTAAAAAACAATATTTATAGAGCCAGAAAGTAGAACGATGATTGTGAGGGACTAGTGGGGACAGGTAGGGGAGAGTTGTTTAATGGATGTAGAGTTTTAGTTTTGCAAGATGAAAAGAGTTCTGGAGATTGGTTGCACAACAGTGTGAATGTGCTTATTTGTATACTTAAAAATTGTTAAGATAATAAATTTTATGCTATGTGTGTTCTACCATAATTTAAAAAACAATACAGGAATAAGAAATTGTTCTTGGAAAATAAAACAAAAAATAAAGGAGTTGAAACAACTACATACGAATTGAAAGATAAAGATAAGGACATCTCCCAGAAAGCAGGACAAACAGTTAAAGAGACAAGAGAGGAAGTTAAAAAAAAACAAAACTGGGGTCAGTCCAGGAGACGAAGTATCTGAGTAATAGAAGTTAATACAGAATAAAACTGGAGAGAAAATTAGCAAAGAAATAATTCAAGGAGTTTTCCTAGTACCAAAGGACCCAACTCTTCGGATTGAAAGGATCTGCTGAGTGCTCGGTTTTTTGAGTGAACAAGGCCCATCACTGGGACATGCAAGAACACCGACTACAAATAGAAAAATCTAAAACTCTTAAAAGAACACAGAGGACTTACCAAGAACTATGAATCTTAATGGTAGTAGAGTTTTCAATAACTTTGGAAACTAGAACACAGTGGAATTCTGTCTTCAACATCCTAAGGGAAGTTTTCAACGTAGAATTCTGTACCAAACCTAATTATCAGTTGTGTATGATAATAGGATAAAGAGGATCAAGATGTTGCATCACAAGCAAAGCTTCAAAAATACTTCATATGTACCCCTTTTTTCAGGGAGCTAATAAAGGTTGTGCTTCACTAAAACTAGAAAATAAACTGAATGAAGGACCTAGAGTCTAAGAGTGGAGGGATCCAATGCAAAAGCATGAAGCAGGCCTAGAAGGCAAGAGGGTGCAGGGCACTGAGGGCTCTCTGAGCCCTGAGGGCAGGGCTCTGAGGAAGGGAGATCTCCAGGGCAACCACAGGACCGGCAGCTGGTACCAGAGTGGTTAGATTATCTAGTGACTGTGGTTGGGGGAGAATGGAATTGAGTGGATGTTAAAGAGTTTGGAAGGAAAAGTCAGCTATAAAGAAAACTAACTAAATGAAAACCAAGTCTGTTATCCTCTCCAAGAAAAATTAGTCTTATTTGGGAGGGTAAAGAAAGGAACATAAATACTACTTGATGAAGCCATGGGCAAGATGTATATTATTGTAAATCACATAATATAAATCCTGATGACTGATTTAACCAAAATTGTGCTAAACAATTTTGGAAGCATTGAGGGAAAGGCCGAGGATGTATAGCAGAACTTGGATCCCGTTGATTAAATAAGGAATCAATAGTTACTATCTAAACTTGATCCAAAATAAAGTATTTGCAATTAACATTGTTTTTTCTAAAAATTTTAGTGGAAGAACGCAGTTTTGTTGAAAAGCACAGATGGCCATCGAATATGTACTTGAAGCAGCTTGCGGAATACAGGAAGTATATTCACTCCCGGAAATGTCGTTGCTTAGTAATGTAACCCAGAGCTTTTATATACATACACTTTTTATTATTATTATTATGAAGAGGAATGGGATACCTCTGTGTTCCAGTAAGATTCTGTGACTGAAACCGATATGGGCGTTAAAAATAATTACCATACAGCTCAATGTGTTTGTTCTCTGGAAAAACAAAACAACAACAAAAAAAACTACTATTGTGATCTTAAAAGGGAACAAAATATACTGTAGGCTAAAACTAAGGCATCATCACCCTAGTCTATAAAGCTGTTGTACAGCTACTTTTTCCCTTTAAGATGCCCTGTTGCTTTAGTGATACTAGTACCCTTCCCAGTTAAGAAATGTTTAAATTAAGAAAAAAAATCATGTAGGATTAATTTTAAAATTTCATCATGTCTGATTAATTGTTCTATTAAAATAAAGGGCATTTTAAAGACCCAGTAGGACTATTTCAATAATGAAAAATCTAGGGTAAAGCTGATCAGTCTGAAATTTTAAGAAATAGAAAGTTGCATGGAATTTTGAAAGTGAAATGCCATGTGGTTTCAAATCACTAACAAGTTTTGAACCATCGTGAAAAAAAAATTATTTTTCTGTGGATAACCCAGCTGAGCCACCTTGTCTCCTCTCTGGATTCTGACTGGGCAGGAGAACCTACACAGGGCTGGCTGTAAGGCCATGTAACCTTTGTAGTCACAAGGGCCCATGCTTGGTTCAATGCTCTGCCATTGCCATCTTGAAATTCTTAATAATATTTAAAGAAAGGCTCTGCATTTTCACTTTGCACTAGGCCCCCAAATTATGTGCATCTCCTGGTAGGATATGTACTGTATTTTCATGCTCAAACGTCATTCTCTCTGAAAGCAAAAAAGAGTCATTGACATCAAGGGAAGAGAAGGAGGCTTGCTGGAAGGAAAAGATCACATGGGGTTTCCCATCCTTGAGGAAGTCTATATCACTGAGGGCCTCTGCTGCCACCTCCATGGGCAAGGGAGGCGTGCCTTGTGTTGTCTCCGTGTTGGAACACTCACAGCTCTGGCTCCGTAACAGCTGAACAAATGCTTTCTTGATCATTCTGAGACCAGGATGTGAGTAAAAGTGACTGACCGGTGTGGCTTTAATGCACATTTATAAAGATGCTCATAGGAAGAGATGCTTTCTAGAGAATTTGTAATCAAAGACTCAAGAGTTTTTTAATAACTTACTAAGCTTAGGATGTCAGCAGCTTGAATTGTTTGAATTCTGAGGACCGAAGGTTATTTAATGAGGAGTAGCCTAAACCTTGTCCTTCAAGATAACCTAGTAAGTTAAAAGAAAGGCTATAAATCAGACTCATTACATGTAGAGAAACTAGTACTAGGATAGGATTATAGTTTCTCTTGTATCACATGTCAACAGAAATAATTACATCAGAAGCTCACAAGCCGAGAGATGGAATACCAGATTACTATTTACTGTCAACATCATTTTCATTTGTAATTCCGTATTGGTATATAATTTTCTTTTTATTCCTAATGACTTTCGAGGACACCTAGTTTTTCCAGCTACTCAAAGGTTTAATTAAACAGTTTTATACCATAGTATTAGACATAATACTATACAGTTAGTCCTTGGATGTATATCAGCACTGTTAGAGTAAGACCGTAAAAATGCCCTATATATATATATCTTCTAAGAAACCTGATTTTAATTAGATTGTATTGATGAAGGTTACTGGAATGCATTTTATGTTTTTTGCATTTTGATCAGTTGAGTTAATCAACTATTGGCAAATCCCGTTTGGCAAAGATAAGCATTGTAAAGAATAAATACTATAGTAGATATCTAGAAATTCATATTTAAAGTCTTTTAAAACACAATGATAGTCTTATGTTCTTCCTAAGTGTAGTTTTACCCCTGTGTGAATTACAGCACTTAAAATTCTAAATTAGTAACTTTTAATCTAGAAAATTGAAAAAATATTAAGTTCTAAAGCAAAATAAAGTATTTCTCGAAACTACTGTCTAACATTTACAAAGACCATAGATACTTTTTAGGTTGTTTGACCTGAGTGGGAGTTAGGATTGAAGCTGGTGCTCTGGAGTATTGAGCATGTAGTTTTTATTATGAAAGTTCTTTCCCACCTGTGTGAGTGACTCAAACACACTGATGTCATGGCTCCTCAGAGCTAGTCAGAACAGTAATCAAATTAGTTTTTAAACCTAGAGTTTTCAATACCTTTGAATTAACCTTTGAAATTGAATTAATTCAATTTAAAATAACAAGAAATTTAAAAATACTTATGAGCTCTCTTGGAGAAATGAATGCTGTTTTTGAATTTTTTTAATTGAAAGATTATTTCTAGACAAATGTATGCTTTGTGCTCATCTCTGCTTCAACATATTTACCAATCATTTTAATTAGAGAAGATACTGTGTGGTAGAACTAAGGCCTTTTCTTTGTGGGCCAGGTTTCCACCTTATATAACCCTTTGTATACTTCTGACTACTCTCTGTTCATATTATAAGAGAGTAGGCTTATAAAATAGATGTTTCAGTAATGTAACTGAAATTCTCTCTGTCCAAGCCAGCATGGTGGCTTCATATTGGACAGTAGCAGAAAACTGAAGAATTGGATGAAATTTAATTTCTAAGGCAAATGAACTTTTCAATTGTAATTTTAAAAATTACACTACACTGACATAGTTAATTAGAAAAAAAATTTCCTCAAGAGTACTTTATTTTATTTAAAGCATCTGTTTAACTCAATCTTTAATAATTTTGCTAAGAAGGGTATGTGTGTATTTTAATATAGCCTGACTTGGATTTATATGTTTTTAGTTTTAGTATTTAACATTTTGTAACAAATAAACTTTTTTTAAAACAAGTTTAACACAGTGTCCTGCAGTTATTTTACCTTGGATGTTGAAATGCTGAAATAAATTTGGGAATACTGCCTATGTTTTTCAAGCATAATTACGTTTCACAGATAATTTCCCTTATGTTGTTGATGCCCATGATGAGATAAAAAAATTATATTGCCTTTAACAGCTGGTGCTGGCATTTCTCTTACCAAAATAACTGCTTTTATTTAGAAGAATGCTTTGGTAATTATTTAGCACACAAGTGAGCCCGGTGGGCTTGAGTGTTGGCTGGGGCCAAGACTTGAGAAATAAGAAGCCATTCTGCATAAAATAGAGTTAAGAACTTGGAACTTTCCAACAAAATGAAAAGGCAAGCCACTGAATGGAAGAAGATACTTGCAAATCATTTATCTTATAATGAGTTAATATCCAAAATATGTAAAGAACTCCTATGTCTCAATACCAACAAAACAAAATAACACAATGTGATTGAAAAATGGGCAGAGAATCTGAATAGAGATTTTTTTCCAAAGAAGACATAGGGTCAACAGGAACATGATAGGATGTTCAACATCACTCATCATCAGAGAAATGCAAATCAAAACCACTCTGAAGTATCACATTACACCTGTCAGAATGACTATTACCAAAAAGATGAGATAACAAATATTGGCAAGGATGTGGAGAAAAGGTAACCTTCATGCAGTGCTGGTGGGAATGTAGATTGGTACAGCTGCTGTGGAAAACAGTGTAGAGGTTCCTGAAAAAATTAAAAACAGAACTACTGTATGATGTTGCAATTCCACATTTGAGTATCTGAAAAAAAAAAAAAAAAGAAAGAAAATGCCAACTTGAAAAGATATCTGTACCTCCATGTTCATTACAGCATTATTTACAACAGCCAAGACATGGAAACAACCTAAGTGTCAATGAATGAATGGATAAAGAAAATGTAGTGTATATACACAGTGGAATATTATTCAGCCATAAAGTATGAAATCTTGCCATTTGTGACAACATGGATAGTCCTTAAGGGCATTATGTTAATTGAAACAAGGATAAATACCATGCGAACTCACTTATATGTGGAATTTTAAACAACAACAGAAGCCACCAAGCTCATAGATACAGATAACAGACTGGTGTTTACCAGAGGTAGAGGCTGGGGATTGGGGATGGGTGAAAAGGGCAAAGGGAAGCCCAAAAGTATAAACTTCTAGTTATAACATGTCATCATCGGATGTAATGCAAATTATGGAAACTAGTCACAAGAAAAATATTGTGACCGTGTGGTGATAGATGGTAACTAGACTTACTGTGGTGATCATTTCGTAGTATATACAAATATTGAATCATTATTTGTATACCTGAAACTAATAATGATGTTACATATCAGCCATATCTCAATTAAAAAAAAAAAAGTGTGGAACTTTCCATGGCCAAGGAGGTCAGATAGGAAGAGAAGAAAGATGAGGCAACATAATGTGAAAACGGAGTGTGCGTTATGTAATACAATTCCTCCCCAAGTCACCAACTTGCCAGTAAAGTCTACTAAACAAATAAAGGCCTCTACAGTTCCCCTGGAATTATGGTCCTCCCACAAATATGACCTGGCAACACACTCTCCCAGATGACCCCTACTGCCTACAGAAGAACTTCCACAGTCTGCACGGCCTGCATGGCCTTTCATAACTAGCCCCATCCATTCTGCCTGGACACGTGGAATCCAGCCGCATCGACTATGTACTTGCACACCACTCACTCTTCCCATGGCTTGGATTGGATTGCCATTCCCTATACATTTTGCAGACTCCTGCAGATCCTGTAAAACCCCACTTACATATCATATCTCTTTTGCTCTGTAGGACTCAAGAATTGCTTCTGCCTGTGAGTAAGAATGAATTGCTTCTGCATGTGTCTTTCCTTAGCTCTTTATTCATGCCCATTTTATGGCACATTTTGCATTTTAGATACTAATATATTGGTGGTTTCTGGCTATAATTTAAGGGCAAGGACCATGTCTTGATTATTCTTCACGACCACCTTCCCAACCCTCCAATAAGCATGGGACTGACATAGACTCTGTGAAATAAATAGCCCTAAACAGGCCAGATTGCTTCTTTTGGAACAATAATCAAGAACTTGTTAATGCAAGTGAGTAATACCCTCACACTTGAGGCTTTCTTTGTCTTGTGTCAGGGGTAGCCAGAGTTAACTGGCGTGTGGGACTTGGAACCACCATTGTGGTTGACTCTCTGGGGACTTGATGAACAGAATGAAAGAGTGAGAAGTGCTGGACCATTGAGAGGGATGCAGAACATATACAAAATGATCCTGGTGACACCTGCCTGGGAGTCACCTTTGGAGGTCAGCAGAAAGATGAGCTGGGGGGACAGAGAGGTTTCTGTTGTGAATAAGAGGGGAAACTGCTCCCAGTGCTGCACATGTTTGCATGCAGATGATCCTATAACTGCATGTAAGTGATTTCCCTGGGTGGTGAAGCTCTGTTCTCAAACTCTTGGTTGTCCTACTGAAGTGTCAGAGCTTGATGTTCTTAGAGGCTGAGCTTAGTCCCTCATCTATGCCTATCTTGTTTCTTCATGCCTCTTATTTTTGTTTCCAAGAATGAGTGTCCTTTTGTTTTATTTTTTTTTCCTCTAGCAGCCACATCACCACTAGAACACCTTTCTCTTAATACTTACAACTTCTGTGATCCCAGAGTTGCCATGGTTAAGTCTCTGACGTCCCATGTTCAAACAGAACAGTTCAACAGCCAAGCGTTATTCAACAGTTTCTCATTCTTTTTACTTTTTTATTGTTAACTTTTTCTAACAGGTAACATGTCTGTGGGGTTGAAAGTTGAAAACAACATAAACAATATACTTTGGGAAAAGAGCCCTTGCTCCCATCTCTTTCCCTTTATCCTATTTCCCACATTCCCCATAGGTAATCACTCACATTAGTTTCTTAGGCATCATTACAGTATTTACTTATGTGAATATGAGCAATGAAAATGCACATTCTCATTTTCCTCTGTGGTAGACAGAATAATGACTCCCCCCGCCCCCCCAAATATCCACATTCTTAACCCCACATGTTGAAGACCGGCTCCAGCCAGGGTCCAGGGGTCCCTGAAGGATGGACGGTGTGGGCAAGAGAGAGAGAGAGTGAGAGATTCCCGAGAGCCTTTCTGGTCACCAGGCAGGCATCTCCACTCTTGACTAGGGCTCAACTTTATTTTGTCATTAAATGTTTAGGGGATGGCACAGAAATGGCATTTGCCTTAGACAATGATTTCTGATAACAAACTTCTTTGATATGTAAGAATTTCCCAGAACATAGATTTGTAGAAGACTCCTGCATAACCTTTATCAATAGTGATTGAGGTAGGGGATTTAGATGCTTATCCTATGGGGAAGGAAGGTATCTTTAGTATAACAGACAATGTTTTTAGCATAAAGGGGTGAAGTTACTTCTCTGTGAGCAGAGATCAAACAGGTCTTTCAGGAAACACCTCTGCTCCCATAATCACAAAAGAAGGAGTTCCTCAATAGGTTCCTTCACAGGGAGCAATCAGCATATTCAAGGCCAGAATAAGTCACTCCAAATACTTGATAATAAATGCCTTGGGGGGAGGCGGCTAGTGCCCCAAGCAGAAACAATTGGGTGGGGGTAGATATCTGCCCTTAACTCTAAATTAGGCCCTTTGTCTCAGGACCAGACTCAAGCCCCCTTTATTATGTAAGCCTTTCATCTGCAAGGCCCTTTGGAAGAGCCTTTTAACAATCATCCACAATGTTTTCATCTGAAATCTCTTTGGAAAAGGCAGGGACATGCCTTTCCTTTATGAGCAATCTGTGTGGGGAATATCGGTCTGATGTGGAATATTGTGAGGCCTGGTCAATACCAGCAGCCTCACTTCCAACATGAGCCAGTAGTAGCAGAAGGAGATACCAGTTTTCGTTTCTCATGGCAGGAGCTGTGCAAATGCTACCATTTCCTCGCTGTGACTGTCATCCAGCGAGGCCAGTGTGGCTCCCAGCACCCAGAACCTGAGAATGTTACTTTTCATGGCAAAAGGGATTTTTGCAGGTGTGATTAAGTTAAAGATCTCGATATGGGGAGATTATCCTCAATGAGTCCCTGATAACCTCAAGTGCCTTTATGAGAGGGAGGCAGTACAGTAAGTTACAACAGGAGGCAATGTAGGGAGGAGGGACTTAAAGGTGAGGAAAGGGCCATGCGCAAAGGGAGAAGGGTAGTCGCTAGAAGCT